GGGCTCTCACGGTGGAGTTCGTTCCTTCATCTTTGTTAACTTTATGGTTGGAAGTTGCACGTGTTAAACATGTGTGTGTTTGAAGTCCCCGATATACCTCTGTTACTAATACTTTTTTTTCTGTTTTAGAGGGTTTGCTGCAGGAAGGTCACACATCACGCGACACCATGGCACGCAAGGGACCCAGGCACGGGAGGCGCGGGCCGCCGCCGGACCAGGCCGAGACCATAGTAAGTGCTGCCCGGGGAGGGGGACCCCGTGAGTTGCTGACATCAAGGGTCATGGGGGGGAAATTCAGAAACGAAAAGTGCTGAGGCTGATTATTGACCCCACATGAACTACTGATACTACTCTTATTGATTTTTTTTTTGTTTAAGTCGCTAATTTGGTGGTTATTTTGTATAGTTTTGCAAGTAACAGAACGTAGGTGAGGGAACCTCATTGGAAACACACACATATTTAGTCCCGATGGGGACGTTTTGTCTTTTGAATAGAAAGATAATCAGTCAAAACGGGCAAAAATTCTAAAATTCAAAGCACGAGCCTGATTGAGAGTGTGGAAGAAAAGGCGCATATCGCGAGCACTCCTCCCTCTGCTTCCGCGGGCGTCTCATTTCTCATTGGCCAGGTTGCACGCTCAGCTGCTCACAGTAGTTGCATTCGACTATTAGGAACTGCGATCGCGCCCCCCACCACCCACGTCCTAAAATCGCAGTTTTGTAGGCTGTGTGTGCTGCTTGTCAGGTTGGTGTACCTATTGGTTTTCTTACCGTCCTGAGCGGCGGGGGCAAGTCAGGGCGGCCCCAGTACCGGGAGCCGTTGAAGTTTGGACCGCGCCAGGTGCCAGGTCAGACGAGTACGGTCCCGAGCGAATGATGCCCAGCTCGCTCGTGTGGAGTAGAATAGGTTGCCTACCAAAAGAAAAGAACGGCTCACTTGAACCACCTGGTCGGAATGGAAGACAAGAGTCGATTGGGTTGCCTACCTCGCGGCGCCTCTGAAGTCGCTCCGAAGCGCTCCCAACGAGGTGCGTGCCCCCCCCCCCCTCCCCATCGGGGACTGTCTAAAAAGACGGAACAAATCACCCTCCCTGTATTGGTGCTACAGCGGCCCACCTGGAGCACAGTTTAGTTCCAAGCCGTGCTGCATGCAGGCGTGTGGGGCGCGTTGCATACTCTCAGGGGGGCAACCTACCACACGGGAGAATGACGAAGTACTGCGGTGCCCGTGGACCATCTAGTAGGACCCTATAACTTCATTGTGAAGCATTAACACTAATAATGTTATTTAATTTAATAACAAAAATGTATTAAAAAGTTATAACAGTTCGCACCGAAGTGCAAATTGTATATCACCCTTTATTCGCACCCTGGTTTTCTCTTTCATTATCGGGCTTCTGGCTTTCTTAATTAACCATACAGTAACCGACAATGTGGTTGGTAATCCTGCAACATACACATAATCCAAAAAAATTAGTACAGGTCTGAAGTAACTGATGTTAAGTGATCCGTTAAAGGCTGGAAAAAACCAGCAAAGCGATACGATGCACTGTGGTCATGCCGCACCAACTTTTTTGTTAGCAATGTGTGCCAGAGTGCTTTATGTATAGACACCTATTGCGATATCGAATTTTTAAGTATCCAGCTGCCGCGAGCTGGCCCTACTCACATTTCGAGTACTTCATTTGCATAGGACGTGGTTCGTGTGCCCGAGCGGGTACCCGGTACCCGTACCATGTGTGCCGCACTCACGTGCGCCCGGCGCCTGATGGGCCCGCCTAAGGCGAGCTCGTATGGTTCTACTCTACTCTCCACTCCGGGACGGAGACTCGCCTGGTCTAGGATTAGTCGGTTCACTGACTCGTGCTCCTGCTCGGCGCCGCGCTGCGCAGGCCGCTCCATTCGCATCACTCTCGTCGTGTGGAGAGGCCGCACTGCACGTGCACTTGCTGCTGCAAATTAGTTGCCCAGCAGATTGATTTAGGTAACGATAGGGGGCGAGTAGACTAACATAAGTAATCTAAAACTGTCAAAGTGTGAAATAAAATTAGAGAGTGAAAACTGTGTTCTGGTTTCTGGTTGGCTGCCAGCTCGACTAATCTAGATTATTTTTATTTTTTAATCCACATGGTCAAGTTTTCTTCGTTTACTTAGGCTTATTCCGATATGACAGCGGGCTGTGCCTTAAACTGACACAACGAAGATTCGTCCTTACCGCGAGTCACGTCTCTTTATTCTCTTCCATGTGACAAGTCGTGTCAGTATCAGCGTCACTTTCCCCACCCGGGCTTTGCGTGCGCCCGTCATAATTGAGCGTGGCCAGTTTCGGTTCAATGTCAATGACAAGCCCAATGTGTCTGGGCACGATTGCATTTAATTTGTGACGCCGCAGCGCGACGAATTGCTCGCGCATGTGAGTTCGCGGACGGGTGCCCTCGCCGTAGGCTAGAATTGGGTACCCGGTTGGAAACGATCGGGTTTAGACCGTGACCCGTGACCTCGAAGATCTCGAAATTCTCTTTTGCAGGGAACATGACCACGCCCACGCCTAATCGCTCAGGCGACCTTTCGTATCAAAACGTTTAGTATGTTTATAGTGCGATATAAAATTATATATTTTATTCACTATCGGTTTTTTGGCAGAATTTTTTGTATCTATATT